TTCTCACAGAAATAGATGATGAAACTGATACATTAATTTGAAACAGTTCACCTAAAATGCTATTGCAGTACCCAAGTATGTTATTAACACTCTGGTACATAAGAAGATTACATAAATTCATGAAAAAAAAAAGACAGTTCACAAATGGGAAAGTAGTTATGATCTGCTGAAGTATTACCTTTAGAAACTTATTACATTGAAGAAATCTCACCTTCTTTATGAGAACACCTCATAGTATATAATATGAGAACTTATGCAAATTCCTAAGCTTTCCATATATAATAGATATTACCAAGAAGAAATGGCAGAAAGTAAAGTTCAAAAATAAAGAATTCTTAGAATTTGACTAAAAGTTATAAAAATATATTACCTTTGATTCATTTTATAAAATTTTCTTAAAATATTTACTGTAAATCATTTAAAAATTCATAGAATGTTTACGATAGATTTTTCAGGAACACCACAAAAGCAATCAGTACAAGAGAGGTCTGATATAGATTGCAGCTATGTGGCTTACTATTGTCTCAGAATTTCCAAATGAACGGATAAATACAATTGTGAAATGAGACAAATGGAATAGAAGCTGAAATATAAACCAATATGATTTGATATTATCATTTTTAAAAATTTCCTTCCTGATCTGTAGAGCAGAGAAAGGAGAAGGGGGGGGGCACGCTTATGAACTGAAAAAGAATTTCATGCATAAAGGATTTTGTTGGGATGAACCATACGGCTATATATAATTATAATGCTCAAAAAAGAAAAAAAAAACTTCCTATTTTCCACCACTTTTTAAAAGAGTTTCTTATGGTATCATATTTCATGCATTGGAGGGGGTAATCCAGTAAAACAAAAAGCAGTACATTTCTCTAATTCAGGATTCCACTTCCATCCAGGGTTAAGGTCAAAGACAACCTCAGAGTCTGTGTTTGAACTGGTCTAGGGTGGGACCATTACAATGATGATTTAATTGAGAGTGGGGGTCTTTGGTGATACTAGAGACTGAACCCAGGGGGACTCTACCACTGAGCTACATCCTCATCCCCAGCAGTTCTATTTTGTTTGTTGCTTGGTTCTTGAGACAGGGTCTCACTAAGTTGCTGAGACAGGCCTTGAACTTGCAATCCTCCTGCCTTGGCCACCCAAATTGCGGGGATTACAGGCAAATCTCACTGCTCCCAGCATTAAAATGAAGCTGTAAAAGCTGTACAGATTCAGCTTTACTTGCCTAAAGCCAACTTGAATGGGAACCACCATGACTGGCCCTGAGTAATGAGGCTGCTTTCCCTGCAGTTTCCAACACACTATGAATAAACAAACCATTAGAGTGTTCCATGTAGCTTTGCCACCAGACCCTGGCATCTCCAGCCCCAGCAATGTGCCTGATTATCTATGATGTTATGCGAGTACATTCCAGGTATGAAAAAGTCCTCATTTCTATTCTGCCCTTTCTGTAAGCCTCCTGCCTCTGATTCAAATGGCTGGGATCTACCTGATCTACAGCCACCCAGGACCACATTTTTCTAAAAATCTAATAACTGTACTCCATAGTTCTGGGTCTGTCCTCTTCTTTCTTCAGCCTCACAGCATCTAGAGACTGTTCTCACACACTGGGATGAAATTGTTCAAGAACAAAAGCTCCCGCATATCAACCTGCCCCCTCCCCCTTTGCTGCAGGTAGTAGGACCAATAACCACCTTTTTAAAGTCCTAATTAAGATTTACCTATAAAAATACTGAAAAATGATATATTAAAGTCTTCATAAACGCTTAAATTAAATACAACTGGTTCACTAGGACAAATTTGCATGTTATTGATCCCCTTAATTTCCTTGTCCTACTGTCTAATTTTCCCTCATCTTTGTAAAATCCTGTGTATAAAAAGGGGATTGGGAGGGATCAGAAAACAAAAAGAATCTTATTCTATGAATAAGCATCAGAATAATTTGTTACTATTCCTGTAATCAGGAATACACATTAGAGATATATCCAAAATATCTCAGAAGAAAATAAGCATCAGGATTCTCACTAAATAGCAAAGGAAATTTTACATATAAAAGGTAGGACATAAAACACTAAACTTCAACACTACACTACTTGTAAAGGAAAAAATCCTCTGTGGTTTGCCCTTTGATAACAAATTCCCAATGCTTGAGATAAAGGTTCTCTTTCCTGTGTCGACCTCTCGGATTCAGAAAAGACCCTATACTGGCTTGTGTGCCTGGAATGTGTATCAGTAACTCAGACAGACACTTATTGTACAACAAATGGTCCAGAAGTGGTCTGGCTTGAAATGTCTCCTATGAGCCAATGGAAAAAGTAGAATATTTCAGCTCACTCCTTAAACACAGTGAGATTGTAACAACATTCTTAGCTTATCTTGAACTTATCCAGTATTTCTTCTAATTTCATCCAGAATTTGGTAACTGATGTTTTCATATTTCTCAAAATGCTTTTTCTAAGTAGCCACTAGTCATGTACGGCTACCAAGCACTACTTCTGTGGTGAGTCAGAACGGAGAAGAATTTTAAGTATGAATAAAACACAAGGCAGATTTCAAACAGTTGTCATAAAAAATATATGAAGTATCTTACTCGTTTTTACATTGATTAAGTGCTGAATATTTTGAATATGGTGTTAAAATACATTAAAATTAGTTGTCAGAATATTTAAAATCATACATGTGACTTGCATTATATTTACACTGAACACTGGTTTATCCTTATACTAATTTATACCCCAGATAACATTCAATAATTTAATTACTATCATATCAAACTTTAAATCTGAAAGATTAAATCTTTCAGATTTTGTTTCTAATCAAAATATTAGGCACTTAACTTTTTCTCCAGGAAAGTTCATAATACTACAAAATCAGTAAGATAAATAAAGATCCAACCATCATGAAACAGGATTTAATAGACTAAATTTACCAATCTCCAGAGGGTGTTCACCATACTAGTAAAGACTAAAGAACCGATGACATTCAACAAAGCACGGAAATGCCAGTGATGCCAACAATCAAATAGTCAGAAACCAAAGCTTGTATCACAACCATCGTGGTGAAAATCCATCTCATATTTTTAGCCAATCCCTACTGTCAAGAGTTTGTAAGTGAAACAATAAATTAAAGAGGAAATATCAAAAAAAAATTGTGTAACAAAATAACTTCATTATTTCCAATATACAAATGTCACTCCCATTATGTACAGAATATTATGGCCACAGGCTGGGGACGTAGCTCAGTGGTAGAGCATTTGCCTAGAATATTATGGCCCTTGTGCCTCAGCAATGGAAAGGCCATTTTATCTTATTCGATTCATACTCTCCATGGTAACAGCAGTAATGTTAGCAAGTCATGAAGCACCAAGTAAACACATTTTTTTAATATAACGAAAACCAAGATGGGAAAATTAAAAAGCTAAAAGAAGGGAGAACATAACTTCAAAATGCTTATAAGGTTAGCAGCACATGATGGCAGTAGTGATGAGATAGTGTCAACTAAAGTAGACTATTACCAGATCTGGGAACTGAAACACAATACAACACAACCAATAAGAAATATTAGGATGTGGTTTATAAAAGATGGGATAAGCTGGGGAAAAAAATACGCACACACGGATACAATTATTTTGGAACATAAGTCAAAAGAAAAAATAGTCCTATTATATATTGAATCTGGTTTCCCAGCTGTTACAAAAAGTCTCCACTAAGCAAAGAATTTAGTAAAATTTAACAGAAAAGTTCATGCTGCAGTATCCTTAAAGAATGAAAATAACTGAACTAAAAGTAAATTTGAAATTCAAATTTCTATTGCTAAACTTTTTTCAAAGTCAAAACGTTTTGAAAATAAAAATTTAAAAAGAATTAGTTTGAGAAGAAAACTCTTAGTAGAACAGAAATTCGTATGAAGAAAAATATTTAGAAAAAAGTACATTTATAAAATTGTTCAGTTACTGCATATGTCTTTACCATACAGAGAAAGCTAAATCCCATGTGACACTTTGTCCTGATATAATTTATCTTCAGAGAATAAAATGTAGCTTGGATTCATTTAGAAGAGACTAATTTTCACATTAAAATAAAGCCAGATTTTTAAAAATTAGTTCTGTAACTCAAAAATTAGTTTATCAAGATTAATGTATTACCACCATAAAAGTCAAACTATAATTATTGAAAGCAATTTAAAAAAATCAGACTTAAGTCTTCAAATTACTAGTATGACTGAACATATCCGTTCGATACTTTCTCAAAAAATTTTCAAAATGACAAGGTAACAACTGTGTAAATCAATAAATAATTCTTAGCTACAGTGTCTACATTTTGCCAGTGTCTCACTTAAAAAGAACTGTAACTCATCCCTAAAAAGTATCCTCACTACTTAAAACAACAATGAGAAAGAGTTCCCTTTACTTCTTGAAGAGCAACAATACAATTCAAAGATTTCTCCCATGGAACTAATGAAATAAGTTGTAACTTGAAGAAAGGAAGGAAAGAAAAAAATTCCACAAAAGAGTTAGCAATAGAAACATCAAAATGAGCAACACCCTGGCATGAAAAAACTCCGTCATCAATCTTAATGTTGATGCAGTTCAAGATGCATACACCAAATAATATCAGTAAATAAATATTTTGGGAGAGAATGCAAGTGTTAGTTACTGTATACTCAAAACTTCACTGTTACTTAAAGCTCTACCATTACTGTGAACACAGAACTAAAAAAGTTTGTAAAGTGCTTTGTATGAGAAACCATAACCAAAGAAATCACATTTGCATGTCCCAAGTAAACTGAAATTACAAATGTGATCACTTTAGTAATAAAATACAGTTTTCATTAACATCACTTTCTAAATAATGGTGCAAACGTATGAGTCAACATCAATCTGAGTTCTATGTGGGGAAAGAAAAAGTAACTCTCCAGAACAAAGCTATACATGCACTCCGTTATTTTATCTAATTGTTCCAACATCTTTTCTGTCAACATCATTAAAATCATCCTACCTGTTTGGATCTGGGTCTACCAGGAGAAAACTTTCTTTTGGTAATAGCTGGTTTACCCATGCCAATTTTGGGAGTGACCGAGATGTACGTTGTTGGCATGATATTTCCAGCGGAGGAACTGAGGGTCGGTGGGTACCCATGCAGCATGGCATGAGAAGGCAAGTCTGAAGCAAGGGCTGGAGAGGAAGACAAGCTTGCCTTGCTTGTTCCTGCTGATGATGAAAATGCTGCCACAGTCTCAGTTGATAACTTCACAGATTTGTCACCTTGACATGAACCCTCTCTGATACAACTCTCCACTGCAGGAGTCATTTCAAAGTCCATAAACCCAGGGGTAAATTCAGGATTTTCTTTCTGTTCTATTTTTTCTTGTAACCTTTCTATAACCAACTGTTCCTTAGAATTCAATGAAGTACTTTCCTCGCTTGAGGACACTAAAGCTTCTCGTGGACCGGTGATAGATTCAATGACTGAGTTTGGAAGCCTTGGTTCTTCTTTGGACTCCACCATCTTAGATTCCTCTAACAATGGCAGCTCCTTTTGCTGTACAATGGTCTGGTGTGGGAGAACTTCACTGTTTTCTGTCACTTCCATTTTTTCTTCACTTTGATCTTCATCTTGAATATGCATCACTTTGGATGGCATTTCCAATTTTTCACCACCAATTTCATAAGAAATCTCATTTTCCAATTCAGCATTCATTTTATTGTGGGATGACTCTACAAATAAGAACAAGTTATATTAATATACAAATTTATAAATGTCTATGAATTTATAAATATCTATGAATAGATATGAAATTCTTGGTTATATCACAAATTATATCATGAGGAATTCATCAAAAAAGCAATTATTAAGTTAATAAAAGTGAAAATACACAAGGGCTTGTTGATTAGAATCAATCACAGATCTTGTGAAAACATGGCTAAAATAGGAACCCCATAGCTTAAGGTAATTTCTGGTAAGAACAACCGGAGATTTAATTAAAAATATAATTCTATCATACATAAACGATGTTTTACAATATAAGCACTTACAACAAAAGGATTGAAATTACATAGGTAAAGTTATCATACATATTTGGTAGCTAGGAAAAAGAAGACCAGTGATATTGTATAGCGTTTCCAAGGTAAAAGATGAAGACTGGTCTAGAATGTAAAGATATTTTGCAGATAACTTGTTGTAGCAGACTCAAATGAGAAATGAGCACAGAGAGAAAAGACTAACCAAGAAGACCCTTTTTTGCTTAGCAGCTGTACTTGTCAAACTACCCAAAACATAGTTTGGATTTTTTTGGGGGGGTGGGGTGGGTGGTGATGCTGAGGATTGAACCCTGGGCCTTGTGCATGCAAGGTAAGCACTCTACCAACTGAGCTCCATCCCCGGCCCTGGACACAATTCTTATTCTTCCTCATAATCATACCCAGAGACTAATCTTAGCAAGTCCATAAAACACATTAAATATTAGAAATACACACGGTTGCTTACTGATAGATTTTAAATCAAAGTACGTGTACTAAGCCTTTAACCCATTTTTTTTTTCTTTTGTTTTGTTTTGTGTTTTAGTGCTGGGGACTGAACTCAGGGGCACCCAACCACTGAGCCATATCTCCAGGCCTATTGGTATTTTTATTTAGAGACAGGCTCTCACTAAGTTACTTAGCGCCTCACTTTTGCTGAGGCTGACTTTGAAATTGTGATCCTCCAACCTCAGGCTCCCGAGTTGCTGGGATTAGAGGTGTGCACTAACACACCCAACATAAAACAGTCTTTCTTAAGAGTAGAGGTCCCAATTAGCATGAGCCCTAAGAGGTTCTATAAAGTAGGACTGCTGAAAAATAAAAGGCATTTATTCCAAATCCCTTAGAGATAATTTTTAAATCACAATAATAAAGACACCATTTTCTCATTTACTACTTTGCCAATCATTGACTAAAATTATGTTCCTATACCAAAATAAAATCTCACTTCTCATTCCTGCTTCATTCAGACTCCAGTTGAGCACAGAGGGAAAACATCAAACAACGTTGACACTACTAAACAAAACCCTTTTTGTTTAGAGAGAAACAACCCAGTGTCAACTCTTTTCCAAAAGAGAATCACTTAACCAAAAGATGTGGTTACAATAATACGTACACAGTTATTGCAAAAAACTTCTGTGGGATGATTTATTTGAAAGTTAATTCACTGGACAATTCTTTGAATCTGCACTAGGGCTAACAAAGGGATTATCTTGAAATTTGATCAAATGAAGTAGTTTGAATATAGAGCTTACCCGAAATGAGAAGATCATCTGTATCAAGACTTTCTGGAGGATTATTTTTCTGCTGCTCTTCAGTGTGGACTTGAACTGGTACAAATAACATATTATGGAATCTTTAGCAAGGAACCAAAATTTCCCTACCATTGCTCTCTCAACAATAATTGGAACAAGAGTTATCTTACTGTGAAATGTCAATTTCCAATATAAGCGCAAAACATACTATTACCAACTAGCATAGGAAAATAAAATTAGAAATCTGGTATGCTGTGTGAGATTTATAATAAATATTTCCTATTATTCTTCACTTACATATTTATGAAGTATAATTTTTAATGAGTGTTGTTAAAGTATACTTAACAAATTTTAAAAAAACTAAGGCTTTTTATGTATACACAACCTACATAATTTAATATACTACTTAAAAATACCAAAGAATTTCATATAAGTCCAAGATTTAATTTAATAAGTAATTTTCTAACAACACAATCTCCCTCATTAATCACAGATCCTCAATTACAGTAACAGCTACTATCCATACTGCAAAAACATAAAATGTCATTGAAACACCTGCAGTTAAGACTGCTGAGATATTCTAAAACAATAAATTTTTCTTTATCTCAGCATGCAATACCTTAAAATCGGACATAGATCTAGTTAGCAATTATAATAACTAAAGAAAAAATAAATTGCTTTTTAATGGAAACCGCCTAATTCATAAAAAGAATATATACTTATTATTAAATCTAGATTATAGCTCAACTATATACATGCCCCTTCTCCTATTAATTTAGGTCAGAGATTATTTTTTCCAAAAAGTTCTTCTCTAAATAATTTCTTCACTGTCCATATCTTGGCTAAGTTTTATGCAGAATGCTCAGATTTTAGTAGACATTCACATATTCAACATACACATACTTCTCTTTCAAAAAATAGAATACATTCCATCATCACAAACATGCTTACCATCTGGAACAATTCCAGGTGTGGATTCCTGATCAGTGATATCTTTATCAACTGCTTGCTCCAGAAATACCATCTGGTGATCTTCGGACCCTTCGATTTCCATTTCATTGTTATAATCTTAACAGAAAATTATTAATTCTTTAGTTTTGAATGAGTTTTTCTGTTTTTTTGCTTACTAGGTTAACAAATAACATGTTACAAAAGTAAATTATCACCAGAAATGCCACTAGTTTTTCTTTCTGAATTTGTTTTTGGACCAAATACATATTTTCATTTTTTAAAGCATCAAAATTATAATGTACTAAAAGTAACTGGTAAGTATTAATTAAAAGTATATTTTACAGACTTGTGATTGATATAGTTCAGTAGTATACATGGCACTGGGTTTGAACCCCAGCACTAACAAAGAAAAATCTGTATGTACGTACTACACATTGAGATACGTACATACACACTTAAGGTAATTGGCATTTTCTTATTTTTAAAGGTAGCCCACCACTGTATGCTGACAGCATGCTCGAAATAAAATTGTAGTGATTAAGATACTTGTATTAACCCCTTCTAGATGATAAAATAGAACCTTCATAAAGGTTGCCAATCATATTGATGAAAATGAAAAACAATCTAGTAAGCAGGTCTATTTCTTTACCTTCTACTAAAAATCATCTTATTGTGCTTACAATAACAGGATATCATTAAAATATGCTGTACCTGAACAAAATTTGGGGCTCAGGAGATAACTGACATTTATAAAGGATATTATAAAACCAACATTTGTTTTAAAGCAAGACATATTAGATTATGAAGGAAAAAAAAAAAAACTAAGCTTCATGCCCACAGCTCAGGAAATGGTGGCTTAAAGAACAAAACTGAAGAAAAGCACACTAGACCTGGGATCCAACCATGAAGCTATGAAAGAATCTAGATTTTTCTTCAGTCATCCAATTCAGAGATGGCCAAAACAAGCACACTAAAGGTTAAGACAACAACACAGGATCTGATGCAGAGGATCCAATCATTATGATTGGAGTGGCATGTTGGTGACCAGCTAGTACAACATTGTGAAGAAAACACAGAATTCTTGAGTTCACCTGAAGTGAGTTCTGCCATCTCTACTCCATCTCCTGGCTGTAAGGGATCCATCTCAGCTTCTAAGTGTTTACAATACATGCAGATATACTCTTCTTTGAGCTGAGAGTCCAGTTCATGTTCTGTTGGCTTGTCACATTCTAAGTGAACCCATCTGCAGTGATAAGTATATTTAAATTAAAATGTCTAATTCAAACTCAAGTTAGTATCTAGGGAAAGGGGAGGCAAAGCATGAACAAAACAAACAAAACAGCTGCTCCTTCTTACCTCTTGCATATATTACAATGGAGCATGTCTTTCTGCAATTCTGGATTGTAGCACTTTCCACAAAAAGGACATAAATTATCCTGCTGTTGGTAACAAGTGTCACATATCAGGCAATTGTGATGCCACTGAGAACTAGATCGTGTGCCACACTCTACACATATTCTGCAATTCTAAACACCAGGAAAAATAAAAACAAAAACAGTATGTTATACATTTGTAATTCCAGTTCAAACGTAAATCTTTGAAAACATGTGGATTAGACATTAAGCTTTAATTTTCACAACATTAATTTATGGTTTATGCTTCTGAAAAAAGCAATTTGTTTGGTAATGATATCTGATGTAAGCTTGCACTAAAACCTACAAGTAAATTTAAATAGGGGATGGGGACATCCAGGAAAATGTAAATGTAGAAGAAGGAAACTGAGATACAACAACACAAACTTTGAAAATAAAACATATTCTATACTCAGTAAATAACTTCTGTGGAATAAGCCTGCCCAATCCAATGCTGGACACTAAACCATGCTATTCAACTATCCAATTTGCTTCCTGGTAGCTTAGAAACTGAAAACAAAACTCTAACAAAATAGCTACTCCATGTGACTTGTTGCTTAAAATTGTGAAAATAATCACTCCACATCAAAATTTAATGACAGTTCTTCATATTTTCAGAATAAAGAATAGCCCTATTCTAACCAAGGTAAGACTTCCTATGAAGTAGAAGGCTAGCCAAAGCTAAGCCAAAACCTTCCCTGGGCCTATGAGCTAGCCAGGGTACTAAAAATTCTGGGCATAAAGCTGATAAATTGTGGAACCTTCACCCACCCTAACTTTTCAATCCAAAACATCAATAAAAAGGAACTTTATCTTTTCAAGCTGGTAGTACACTCACTCAAAAACAGATCACCAGGCACGGTGGCACATGCCTGTAATCCCAGTGACTTGAGAAGCTGAGGCAGGAGGATCATGAGGACAAAGCCAGCCTAAGAAACTGGGAGAGACCTTGACTCAAAATATAAAAAGGGCTGGGGATGTGGCTCAGTAGTAATGGTCCCCTGGTCTCAATCCCTGGTGCCAAAAAATAATGGTAATAATAATAATAACAAGTAAAACAAAACCCACAGCAAACCCACAGGTCTATTAGCCTTACAAATTTAAATAGACAAAACTTACTGATGTAAAAATCCTAAACAAAATATCAAACAGATTCAGAAAACAATAAACTATGTCCATGTGGGATATATAAAAGAAATGCAAGGATTTTTAACTATTAGAAATATATATAATATAGTTTAGCAAAGTAGGACTGAAAAGAAAAAAATATTAATTCAACAGATACTAAATAAAATTATTTGGGAAAAAATTAAAACGACTTCCCAATATAAATTCTTGAGAAAATAAAAAATGGGGGTGGGATGCTAAAGACACAGCTCAGTTGCAGAGCTCTTGTCTAGCATATACTAGGCCCTAGTTAGATCCTCAGCATGCAGTGCAGGGAAATGGGTGTGAAGGAAAAGCATACTTCAGCTCTAAAGGCAACAAATTATTCAATGGGGGAACACAAGAAAAATCCCCACTAAGGCCAGGAACAAAGTAAGGATGCCTGCCATCTCTGCTACTACTTAATACAATTCTGGGGGCCAATGTAAATATTGAAACAAATGACAACAGAGGCCTGACACGAGGAAAAGAAATGTTTTTAATTCTATTTATAAATGACAAATAGTATACTTGGGAAATCCTAGAGAATTTATCAAGATTCAATAAAATAATTCAACAAAATAGCAAGACACAAAATTAATATGCAAAACTTAATAGAATTTGCATTTACAAGTAACCAGTTAAAAGAGATGAGAAAATCCTACATATAGCTGCAACAAAATAGATATTTAAAAATGAACATAAGACGTTAAGTATCTATAATGAAAGAAAATTATCAAACTCACCAAAGACACAAAACTAGACCAGAACAAATACAAGGAAACCCATTGTTCTTGATTAGGAAATCTTATCATCATCTAAATGCCAGTACTCCCTAAATAAATTAACTAATCCTAACCTACATTCCAGAACCCTCACTTGGAAAGGAGGATGCTACATGGAACATTAGATCAAGTGACAAAACAAAAACAAAATTACATTAGATGCAAATACAGTACTGATGAAAATTCATGAATTTCAAGAGAGTTCTATATTTATATAAGAATATCCCTATTATTAAGAAATAGTGAAATATATAAAGAGCAGTGGAATACATGTATGTAACTTATTTTCAAATGGTAGACAGGAATTGACTGATAGACAAACAGTAAGATAGAGGTCATGCACAATGGTAATTTTAAGAAGTGCTATCAATAGATGAATCTAAATAAATAGCATATGGATTTTTATTTTTTCACCTTTTAGAGTTTAAAACAACTTTCAATTAAAAAAAAAAACTTTTAAAATATACTAAACACAGGCATCGTTGAGAGAGAAATAGGGAAAAGAAACTGACCTGGCAATGACAATGTACAACAAGGACCCAGAGAATCACTCTTGCTCTGGCCCAGAAGCAAGCAGCCCCTTCTTGATTGGCATCCCTAAGGGCATACTCTACTTGCCCCAGCATCTCCAGCTTCCACACCACAATGAAGTCAAGGCAGCCTGCCCTCAAATGTTAGGCACTAAAGACTCCAGACAACCATGAAAGAATTTTAATATCAGAGGAAGAGGTCAGCACTCCTAACATTCCACACACAGACTTAGGAGAGTCAAGTAACTTGCCCAAGATCATATACTGAGTAATGAGAAAACTCATAATGATTCTACAGAGTGCCTCCATAGAACAGAATTTAAAAATTAAGTATCCAATAGTATTCTTAACAATACAGTATATAATTCTGTCCATCCCAGAGAGAACAGCAAACTGTGACAGAGTACACCAAAAGGAAATCAGATGACAAGCTGAGAGACTGACAAGTTTCTACAGAAATTTTTCAAGATAATGAAAAACATAACAAAAAAAAAATGAATTAAGAGTATGAAACAAGAACTACCCAGTTTTACCAATCATTAAAAAGGCTGTAAAAAATTTCTGAAGTAAAAACCACTCCTCGTCTTCTAAATGGGCCTGACGAAACACCCATATTGACAAACATGTTCCAGGTGAAACTAGTTATTTGTAGAACTACCACAGATAGCTTCTGGAGATAGACCAAATGAATGAACAAAAACAAAGATCCCAAAGTTTTGGGGGGCAGACCCCCACACAGTAATTTTTTTCTTCTATAACAAAAAACTCAAATTCTGGGGGAAAATGTTTCTAGAATATAAAGTAGTCTGAAGGGAATAAATCTCTTTCAGCTGTATAGGATTTCAGAAAATTGATAATTCTTTGTTTTTTCCATATTTTTATTGGTGAATTATAATCATAAATAATGAGCCATTATTTGGAATATAACCAAGACTCAAAAAAAAATGGTGGTGAAGTTTGGGTTAACAGAGGAAACCTTTTTGCAATAAAAATATAAGTTTTATGATATGGGTTGCAGTCAAAAAAGGATAAAAAAGAGAAAACAAAACCACCACCACTAAACTACCACCCCACCGTACCCACTCCCCCGCTAAAAAAGCTTTATTCAGTCCTTAAATGGATCTGACCAGAGACTGACAGTGGTCTACATGTTCCAGGCAAAATTAGCATTATCTAGTGCAGACAGCACCTGGAAGCAAATCTCAAGAATTAAAACAAGACCCTAAAACTTCCAGGATGAAAAAAGGATTTAAAATGAAGTGATTTTTTTTTAAAGTAAGATTTTTTGGGGGGAGAGGGGGTGGAAAGTGAAAGAAAATGATTATATAAGTTGAAATATAAATTAACGTTCGTAAAATATGACCATGAATCACAAATCAGTACAAGAAGTGAACTGAACAGAAAACAGAAATTAAAAAACAATTTTTAAATTTTTTAAATTTATTTAAGAGAGAACTTTTTAATATTTATTTTTTAGTTCTCGGCAGACACAACATCTTTGTCTTTGTATGTGGTGCTGAGGATTGAACCTGTGCCGCACACATGCCAGGCAAGCGCGCTACTGCTTGAGCCACATCCCCAGCCCCTAAAAAAACAATTTTGCCTTAAAATTGCCAATCTTTTAGATTGAAAACATCAATCTAAATAATAAGCTCTTTTAAACCTTTCAAAACACACATTTAAAAGAGATGCAAAGGATCCTAAATAAAAAGATGTTAAAAGATAACATTCAACTGGTGCCTATGTGCCCATAGAAAACAGCCTGTGGGTCGATATAAAGCAAAGTAAAAGCAAAATATCTGGTCCCACTCACAAGAAAAACGAAAAACAAGTGTTACATAGATAAAGAGTGATTTTATACTAATGAAAAGCACAGTGTATTAACACTGGTCTGGCCTGTTTGCTAAGTAACAGCCACAAAATAAATGTTTTATTAAAATAGTGAAGGATACAGGGGCCAGGCTGTAGCTTAGTGGTAGAGTGCTTGCCTAGGATGGGTGAGCCACTGGGCTCAATCCTAAGCATTACATTTAAAAAAAAAAAAAAAAGGTATAAAATAAGTTATGATTCTTTTTTAAATAGTGAAAGATAAAAAAAAATTGATAGGAAAAATTACAGTGGTTAATTTTATCAGTTTTTTCAATCAACGAGCCAAAAAACAAAGTAAAAGGATTTCTTCTAACAATGAAATAATAAATGCTTCACTTTTCAAAAGTCATTATTTCAAGTATTAAAACATTTGTTTTCCAAAACCACATCAGCTAAATTAAATTTTCTGATTAAATGTAATTAAAGTAGAAATTAACAGCACAACCATAAAAAAGAAAGATAAAGCTATTGAGTCAGGTATATATACATACATAGAAGGTTACAAATGCAATGAGTGCAACCAAAGTTATAATCAAAGGTAAGTTTATAGTCTTATATATTCTTCCTCCTTAGGAAAGAAAACGAATTACAAATAGAGACACTGTGTTAAGATAAAAATAATAAATGTACCAACCCATTAAACATAGAACTTTTTCCTTAGCCTGATTATCAAGATAACACATCACCACCTCTCATTCAACCAGGGAGGAAATGGAACTACCCGAGAAAGCAGGCCTTCTTCAGTCTGCAGGCTCCACCTCCCAGGTGGCCACACCTGAGCACAGGTACCCAGGGGCTCTTTGAATCCCAGGTGAAATGGTCTCTCTGCTCAAACGCCCCGCATTCTGACTACTGCCTAAGAGAACTCTCTGAGGACTGCCCTAGAAGGCCCAAACCCAGATTCCAGTTCCAGGTGCCAATCATCTGTCCCCCGTGGACTGCATGAAGCACAGGTGCCGGCTCCCTCAATGTCTCCTCCCACCCTGCCCCTGCACCTGCAGCTAGAGTGACCTCTTCACCAGGACTCTCTAGCCTACCTTTCCTGAAAGGATGTTTGAAAAGCAATTAAAAGGCATTCCAAAAAGGCCCAAGAGACCCTGCCCAGATGGGCACAGCACCTCCCTTCCTGCAGGCCATCACACCCTCTCCGGTCCTGCAAGGGAGGGGCAGGGTGGACCCTCCAAGCCAGTGGCAGAGCCATGGGACCCCAGCAGCCAGAGAAGCCTAACCCCAGAAGCAGCCCCAGGCCTGCAATTCCAGGTGCCATCCTCAGCATCCCACTCCACCCCCAACTCCTTGAACACTGCACCCTGGAGGATGCCAAGAAGGTAACACATGGGCCGATAAATAGAAAGGGAAAGGGAGACCTAGGGGAGATACACCCAGGGCACACTTCTGTGCAAATGGGACAAGAATGGCAGGCTGCAGGGACATCACTGACTCTGGAGATTTCAGAGATCTCGACATTTTTTCATAGAAACACTATTTAAAAATTAATATAATTTAACTGACCTTCAAGATTACTGCAATGCAAGCTGCAATGCCTGTATTTAGCATTTCTATTTATTATTCTGTTAACCCCAAATGGCTGTCAAAGACAGAAGAAATAAGCAAGTTTTCTACATAGTACTACCAAGGGAAAAGCACTACGTGTCAGAATGGCACAGGGACATGCACCCAGTAATCAGAATCATAACTCTCAGAGAAAGCAGAAGATTATGGTCCTTGTCAGTATCTACTTACAACAGTTAAGCTACAAACAGCATACCAGTAAATTATAATGAGGAACTTCTGTATTTGAGAAATAACTGGATTGATACCCCCATTTATTACAGATTTCAGTTGTGCCACCACCGTGAGTCTGGGAACAAAAGCTTTACAGAGTTTAGCAGCATTTCATTAAATTAAATGTTCAAGGACGGCTTTCTGAGGTCTTATTAACCTGAACTAGCAAAGACAGGCAGGACATCATCAATACTATTTTTATTTTAAAAACAAATACAACAGGCACTCTTCTGGGCTGGGGATGTGGCTCAGTACCACAGCATCTGCCTAGCATATGTGAGGCCCTTGGTCAAATCCTCAGCACCACAAAAATGAAAAAAGAAAAATTGTCTGTATCATCATTACAGCCAAAAAAAAAGCTTAAGCAATGAACCGGAACTGAGGAAACATCTATCATAGGGAATCTTGGCAATTTAGTTTCAAACCAAAATTAACTGTTAAATAAAATTAATATTTCTTACTTTGTATTTTCTTTGTAAATTCTATTTGACTTTCTAACATTAAGATTATAAATAACTGAAGTCAACGCGGGGGAGGGGAGTGGGACAGTATATGAATCTGGAGTCCTTAGTTTCTTTAGACCTACATTCTAATGAAATGAAAAATATTCTTAATTAGTGTAGGGAGGAAAGCCCTTCTTACACAATTAAGCATACACAGTATGGTGACACAAGGAGAAAATAGTATATTAGAATGTGATATCTACAGTTTAAGAAAGGATCTACAAATCAGTAAACTTGGACAACTTACTTAACCATTAATCCTCATCAACCTTCATTTTGAAATTTATTCATTGGCCTGTATAAATTTTAAAGGAAACACCTGGGCTACTTTTATGATTGATTTAACTTTCTAGAGAACATTCAAAGAAAGGCCACACTAAATATTGTTTCTAAATATCATCCAAGAATTTTTTTAAAAATTAGTTTTACTAATTTTTGCTGAGAGATCTGAAGGTAAACTTGAACTATTCTTATCTTCTATTTTCACTTTAAGAATTTAAATACTTTATGCTTCTGGGTAGATAACACCCTATAATCTTCTGTTGCTTACCTGGTCCTACACAAAGTATGCCCAAGTCGACAGAACTGTAAGTCTACCCACAGGGACTACAGACAGTAGTGAGAACTCAGGAAATTCCTGGGAAAGCTTAAAGTGACCAGCATGGTATTATCTCAGGGTCATACAAATGCAGATACAAAAAAACAGATGGAAGAAGAAAAAATAATTTACTGACCAAAAGAATAACAAGGAAAACTTAAAAGTAACTATAAACAGATCTTAAAAAGTGCCCCACCACAATAGAAGGTCTGGTATTTTCAGCAATAAAAACGTAGGAAAATATCTGAAGATTCTGGCCACATCTCAAAACCAAGAGAAACTTTCGACAATAAATAAAAAAATAAATATCTGAGTCACTAATCATTTATTTAAAACTACCATGGAAGAGAGAGAACCTAAAAGTTGCACATTATGATTCCAAATTCTTAATACATAAACACACACACACACACACACACTAACATAGGTACACTGTACATACAAATTAATTGTAAGGACCCTAAGAGCTAATCAATCAGAATGCAATATCTTTTACCTGGGATTACAAATTAACAAACTGTAAAATACATCTGGTTTTTCAGTTTCTTCATGGAGATACCACCTATTTCACAGGTGTCTGGGAAGATTGATAAATAATGCAAAACTAGTTTCTTTCATTAAGCACCATACTAATATTAATTGATAAGTTCACAATATTTTTAGTAGCCCTCAACTGTAAACAGCCCAAATGTTCACCAATAAAGATTTAAGTAACAACTTGGTATCTCTACCACTCAGTAATACAAAGGAATCACAACTAATATGTGCAACAAATTGGAAAAGCCTCAAAATAATTACATTGAGCCAAAAAAGCCAGATAAAATGAGAGTATACTACATGATAGCATTTGCACAAAATTGTAGACTGTGAACACCAATCTACAGTGAGCAAAAGCACACCAGTTGGGAAAACCAGAGAAGGGTGTGGATAGCCAGGAAGGCAGGTACCCAAGGGCACCAGGGAACTTTTGAAGATGATGAGAAGGTTCATTATATTGAAGATGATGATAGCTTCATGGTATATATATGTGTCAAACTAATACTTTAAATATGTGCAGTTTGTTGTATATAAGTTATACGTCAATGAAGTTTAAAGTATTTTTTAAATAGATTTGAATAGGTATCTGATTTGTCTGCTCTCTATATAAAACATACAGAGGATATTTTCTTAAAAAAATAAATAACTTACTTTGCATTTCCAGCCATTGGTTGGTACTGATTTCATAACTGGTTGAAGACAAAAAGTATGATACCCTTTGTCACACGTATCACACACTAGCATCTTGCTATCTTCTCCCGATTGTCTAAAAAATAAGATAGCATTAATGATGCCTTATCTTTAAACTTATGTTTTATAACATAAGTAATCATGAAAAGGATCAGTCCTAGAAACTGCACAGTTCATAAATACCTCAGTATCTGTTTTTGTCTCTACATAGATAATGATGAGGTAACCCCCAACCATGGGTCCCTAAAGGGCTATCTTTACTTGAAGTTCACCTGCAGTAACTTGCTTTAGTCATTTTAGGACTCCTGTAGAGGAGGAGGGGGAAGGCAAGATGAACAACCTCTCTTCTTTGTTGTTGAAATAGCTCATGCCCATTCATTTGTGGGGAAGAATTGTAACTGCTAGGTGATACTGTGTGGAAAGAATCAAATCTTGGCAGCGTGAATGGCAAAGGCACTGTTATATAATGACAGAGGTCAAATCAGACATATCTGTATTTGTATTCAGACTGCTATTCCCCAGCTGTGCAAACTGAGGCTTCAGTTGAGTTTCACATATAAAATGGGAATAATAATGAAAGAATTCTGAGAGAATTAAAATATGAGCTTAAAATGTCCATTAAGCAATAAATATTAAATGATTATGTACTAAGAAAAAAAATCTTGTCATAATTATTGAGAATTATACTTGAAAACCTAAAAGCTTTCTTTAAATATTCTTTTGCCCTAAAAATTGGGTCCCAGCCCTACCACATAATCTCTTGTCTCAATTCTTGGCAGTTAATCACTCTCAGATACTAAATTTAATTCAAGAAGAGGAGAAAAGCAAAAATGAGGAATTTAAGAAGAGTTGAAAGCAGGTCTCCAAATCAAACCTGGGGATAAGTAACAAACAGGAAAAATGGGTAAAAGCTGGCCTCCAGTTACTATTCAGTTCAAAAGACTCTAATTATAATATTGCATACTTTAACTCTTCTGCTAGGTGGAAGGATCTTAGAGAATAAGCACTCTCTTCGAGTTTTCTCATTCCTCCCAAAGAAACTGAATACAGATACAAGGTACTGAAAAATGTTTTACTTTTATTTTACCTAATTTTTACCAAAATAAGAGGGTAAGTGGTCAAATTTATTCCATATAACTCTAACATATTGATGCTAACTATCATCAGAATGAGTAACTAATAAAACTGACTGAACATGGCAATGCTGGGTATTAATTCCTTCTGGTACCAAAAATACTCAGCCTGTAAACTGCATTCTTAGATTGTTGGTGATGCTGGTAACATCCCTGATTATCTTGCTAATGGGGGGTGGGGGGGTTTCAGAGACTAGAAAAATGACCAAGATGGAATATAACAAATAGAAGAAGATAACATTTGTTATCTGCCATAACGTTTGTTTAAATGCCACACAATACTTCATTTTAGAATTATGGTACATAGAATCTACTAAAGGTAATTGTCTTTCAGATAAATATAAAGGTTTTATTAAAACAGTAATCTTAGAAGAAAGTGACCTTTCTGGAAAAGAAATTCAAACACATCACTGATTTTCCTGGCTGAACTCTAGGAAATAATTTCTCTAGTTAGAGCTTCATTTTCCTATTAAATCATCTCCCCAGATCCCCTCAAGAAAAGCTACTTTATTTTTCTAATGCTTAAATTATTAAGATCAGTCTTTTACAAATTGTTGGCATATTTAAGTTAGATTTTTAGACAACCAGGAGAATTTAAATTATTAAAATGTGTTTTGCTTAGGGTTCAAACTAATAGAAATGTTAATAAATATCTAGTCATTTAAGACACAATAAAGTCTGTTTGAATGAATATAGCTGCAATATGAACAACTTTTATATTACATAAATCTTTAGCACCTGATAGGGTCTCTCTTAAACTCAATACACACCTTTGAGTTGAAATTAAAACTTACTTGCAGTTCTGGCACACTTTGCACTCAGGACATTGCCAACCTGCCCGTTTTAATGGAGTAACCGCTATATCCAGGCACATTCCATGATAGTGCTGACCACAAGTGGTACAAAAGAACTGATCTAAGAGGTCTCCCGGGCTGTCGCACACTGCACAGTTTGCATCTTCCTTTGCTATAATTAACAGTAAAACAATGAAATTGTTGTATAAGAATTTAATACTTTTCTGACTTGACAATTTAAAATCACTTAAAGGGAATTTGCATGGTAAACTTTCAGACACTTGAAGTTATCCACACTGGACTGGCATCTAGTCAGAATGAGGTCTCAATAAAAGCATGGTAGTGAATTTAATCTAGATTTAACCACATTAAATTCAATCATTTAGTTTTGCAATGATTTGTGCCTATATCTTCTTGAGGCCACAAACATTTCTGGATTTTATTTTTCTAATACCAATGATAATGCTGGGCATTTAATTAATGGTCAATATATACTTGCTGCAATGAACTGCCCAAGGGGCAGAGGGAATGAACTGAGAGACACTGGTAGTGTAAGAATAAAGATTTTATTTGGATTAAATATATTTGAAATTTACAAAACCAGATAAAAGACAAAATTAGGTAATGTTGATATGAATTAGATTAAATGCTTCTTAAGCATAAACAAACTACTCAGGTCAAATAAGGGTTTTTTTTTAATATTGAAAAATGTCTTATGTGGGAGAACAGTAAAAACGGAAGCTACATATTCAAACATGAATGTAATTTTTCATATATTAATTCTATTCTCATCTACATTGATTTCCAGTTGTAAAAGCATTGAAGTCCATATACTTATAGACATCATATAACCATAAATGCAGACTAAAAGCTGCACTTTCTAACGATACTTTTACTGTTTAAAACAAAAACAATGTCAAGAAAAAACTGCCCTCCCCAATACACAGTTAAGCCCATGTATATATTACGATAAGAGAAGGAAAATAATGTATTCTAAAATTACTCCATTTTAGGTCATACGATTATGCCTATTTCTAACAACTATCACAAAGTGTGAGAGTCTTTTTTGCTGTTGTTTTCCCTTTTGTTGAGTTTGGTCATTCCTATCTGTTCCTCTATTAATTCTATTCTAAAAATCACTTTCACCTTCTCTCTTTCCTAGTTAAGCATCTTCAAACTGAGTGTAAATCTACCCTCTTACATGTTCCAGGAGTCAGAGAACTTTTCCTACAAAGGACTACTTGGTAAATATTTAAGCTTTTAAGCCATAGCAGTCTTCGAATACAGACATTTTTAAAAAAACAAACAAAAAAAATCCTTTAAAAATGTATATACCATTCCTAGCTCGAGGTCCTGGAATGTGGTCTGTAGGCTGGACCCTGACATACAGATCCACCATTCCCCTGAAGCTGCTATAATGTAGCTACAAAGGACTATGTGGTCACTTTTTCAACCAGGCCATTCCTACACTTAGCAACATTTGCATTATTGACCATCTCCTATTCACACCTCCCTTTTCTTGACAACCCTTTCCTGATCTCTCCTTAGGCTTTCAGTATGTTCACCTCATCTTCCTTTTTTGACTGCTGCATCTCTATAACCTCCCTAAATGCTGAAGAGTTCCCTAGACTCCACCCTGTTTCTTCCTTTCCAACTCCCTATGGTTTTCCTTTGTGGAAGGACAAAGGAAGGACACTGTGCTCCCTGATTTGCCTACAAATGAAATCTCTCCCATGTCAAAAGAAGGCTACAACTGCCAAATTTGTATTACCAGCCCCAGACTTCTGTCATTAAACCCAAACCTTTATTTTCAGTCTTACTGGAGCTCAACAGCCAGATGTTCTAAAAATAATGAAATTAAACTTACACCAATGGGTTAAAAGCAGAAACTTCAGTGTCACTGTTGATTATTAACTCCTCTGACCCAGCACACCTGAGAGACACACCAATGCTTATTTACTAAACTTTCCATATCCAACTTTCTGTTCTTATTATTTAGTTCATGTTTTGTCTTAATGATAACAGTTTCTTCAAAATGGAGTCATCCCAATTTAAGGTTCTGACCTCTCTAAAAATCATCTATACATCTAAACCACATTTTCAAAAATGTAAAATCTAATTGTCATTTACACTAAAAATCATCATTACCTCCTTTTACACCTTAAAAAAAAATCATAATTTTATAGGCTGAGCAAAAAAGCACCCCCACACCCCGCCTTCCAGCCAGATCTTGGAACTACCCGCTCGCTCCTGTTGGTGTGAGTAGTCTGTAGTGAGCATGATACAACACTATGTCCCTTTACACATTCTGTTCCCTCTGCTCAGAACTCTGTGTGCCAGGTTACAATGGCACACGCCTGTAATCCCAGCAATTCAAGAGGCTGAGGCAGGAGGATTGCTAGTTCAAAGTCAGGCTCAGCAACTTAGTGAGACCCCATCTCAAAATTTTAAAAAATACATTTTAAAAAAAAGGTTTGGGGATATATCTCAGAGGTTAACACACTCCTAGGTTCAATCCCTAGTACTAAATTATTCAAAAAACAAATAAACAAACAAAAAAAGAAAACACCTTTGTGCCCATTCCAGAGAGGCCTTCAAAACTCTGCTGTAAATACCTGTGTTCACACCTAAATGGTTGTTGTTCCCCCATATGCCTACAAGAAAGTTTTGCTGTACTAGCCATTAAAGACAGCCCAAAGCTGGGAACACTTGAAGGACAGGAATGTTTCTTTTTCCGTTCTGTATCTCCAACTGCATAAATTAAATCTTATTAAATGCATTTTATTTAAATGAAGGTCTTCCTTCTACAATCACTTTTAAATAGCTCTTTAATTGTCAGACATTTAAAATAAATCATGGATTTAAAAGGGGAAGTTCACACATGATAGAAGGACATAAGAGGATAAATTATTTTTCTTAATACTAAGATAGAATTATGTACATTTAAAAATTGATCTTTGATTTTTGCCTACTCTAAACTTTTAGAAATTGTGGAAAGCACATGAATAATTATCAGATACTTGGTTTGCCTTATTAATAATTTTGCAGGAACACTGTCTAAAATATTTCCATAAAACTTCCTAGAGTTTGCTACTCCATCACTTCAACTTGCCATTACAGCAACTAGTCATAGCAGCTCCTGAGCAACTGACATACTAGTCCACACTGAGATGTGTAGTGAATGTAAAATGCATACTGAATGCAGGCTTAGCAGGAAAAAAAAGTCAAGTGTCTCAAAATTTTTATATTAATTACATGTTGAAATACTAATATTTTTATATATTTGGTTAGATAAAACATACTACAAAATTTCAAATACTTTTCACTTAATAGCTTGCTTGAATTATATTTCTATTTCACAGAACCATTCTATACTCACAAACCCCGTCTGAAACAAGAGTGTTCCCACTTTTTATTCTATAATGATTCCCAGCAATTCCTCAATGACAATCCTGTTGTGTTATTTGACTTCTACAGATTACTGATAATAAACCAAAGAAAAACATCAATGTGATGCATCTAATACAAATATATTTACCATTTGTTACATACATAACAATAACAGAAAAAAGTACTATGTGAAAGTATGAGGTAGGTTCCAACCTACTCCCCAGCCAGGGAACAGTATGTGCAGAAATACTAAAACCACTTTTTGGAGGTTATGTATAAGATGATGCAACTATGTAGCTGTCATGTCATGTCAGAAGTATGTGTACATGTACATGCATATACATCTGCAAACCAGAGACATTAAAATTGAAGCAATCATCAAACAACTAAGTGAAATTTTTCTATAAGCAGTTGCAAAAGCAGATTGAAAGGTTAGAAGATCATTAGAGAGGGCAAAAGTAAAGCTCAAGTCAATGATCACAATCTTTACTACTTATTAATAAATACTGACTACTAAATTGAACTACTCTACTCATCAGTGAAGGTGAAGAACATCGGAACATACACCAAAGTAGGCAGGAAAGTGCCACAAAGGCACAAGATGAAGAAGTTGAAGAAAATAAGGGCACAAGGTTCTTTTGACAAGAGAAAAGTGAAAGAAACAGAAGGATAATCTGTACAGAAAGTCATTTCCTAAGTGACAACTGTGAAAGAGATAAAAGGAAAAAGACAAAAACATTAATCTCAGGTGAGAAGGAAGCTTATCACGGACTGAAACCCACTCAGATTGGAAGGTGCTTGAGAAAGTCAAACAGGCACATAGAATAGAAGCACTGGTAGAGAGCAAGATTTCAGCCGCCATGGGGAAGAATCACCGTCAGGCTAGACCAGCACAGCCTTCTTGTTCCATCAACTCCGCAACACACTCATCATCTGCCAGTTTTGTTCACTGGAAGGACACTGTGCTTCGTGATTTGCCTACAAATGAAATCTCTACATAGAAAAGGTGGTTCATAGATATCATCCAAAGAGGTGGGCTCATGCAGGTGGCAGGCAGTTAGGAAAAAAGTCCAGGGGCTGACAGAACATGGGCAAAACAGAATAGTATCAGGACTTCAAGAAACACTAGCGAGGGAAGAAAGGCTGGAGTCAAACCTAGTGATGAAGCAAATTCACTAGGGAGGAGAGAGTGGATTGGGAGACCATATTTCCCACATTTAACCTCTGAAAAGCCTTCTCACTGCAGACAGTTAAATGCAAATCCCTTTAGTCTGTGTTCACCTTGACATGATCTCTTCTAACCACTTAGCAGGCTACTACAATGGCTATTAGGTGTCTGTCCACGAATCACACCAGGCTCATTCCTCAAAGCCTGTGTAGCAGTTTTCTCCCTGCTTGGAATGTTCTCTCCTTGGTCTTTCATGGCTGGCTCCTTGCCATCCAACTTGCCTACTATGAAAGTTTATCTGGCTAAATTTCCTAGATGGATATTCAGCATAAACTTTCTAGACATAATTAGCATATCCTTTGCATCATGATGTTGCAAGGATAATGTTGGAGCCATGACCAGCCACTTCTGCAGGAGAGAGCTCCCTAAAAGGAAAACATTGGCTTGCTCACAGATAATCTTTCTAAGGAGAAACCTCATACATGTTCCATCATCTGCATGAAAATGTTTTTGATAGATTTTTCTATTTTCATAAACAGAAGTGTCAATCTTATTCCTAACTCAGCCAACTATCACAGTACATTTTTCTGCACTTAATCAGCAACACGAAAAGTGTGCACTCAATAAAAATTATTCTTCTCACATCAAGTCTTAACTAAAGAGTTAAAATAACTATCTTTTGGTAAAGCAATTAATTTAAACAAGGCACAATGCTGTATGATTCCATTAATTACTATCATTTACCACACATAATGACACTGATATCAAGATATCCCCATTTTAAAAACATAAAAGTTAACTATCTTATGCCATGACCTACAATTAAGTAGCTAGCAATATTTATGAAGGATTTTACAGAGGCAGAAATACACTCTATCTGCAATTTTATCTAAACTATATCCTTAAATTAAGACATGTGGCCAGAAATCTGTATATTTAGACTGCATTCTTTAAGATCCCTAAGGAGGGCTGGGTTATGGTTCAGTGGTAGACCACTTGCCTAGCACATGTGAGGCACTGGGTTCGATTCTCAGCACCATATAAAAATTAATTAATTAATTAGTTAGTTAGTTAAAGGTATAGTGTCCATCTACAACCTAAAAAATATGTATATATATATTTTTTAAAAATCCATAAGGAATAGAACTTACTCACAATTGGGCACTGGTTTTATACCACTGGCTCAGTTTGAGGGCAGTTGTAGGAAACAACCCTGCAGGATTTGTTTATACTGCCAGACAGTTAAAACTTTAAGACAATTTTTCAATATCAAGTGAATCTTGTCATATACACTGAGAATCAGATAAATGTTCTTATTTCCTCCTTTGTGTTAACTTATAGAAATTTGTGTTTTACATCTAAAACGAATCTATTTCTTTGGCTCGGGTCCTAGCTCCCTGGTAGAGTGCTCACCTAGCATGTGCAAGACCCTGCATTGGATCCTCAGCACAACATTAAAATAAATAAATAAAATAAAACGTAGTATCCATGTATAACTTAAATAAATAAATAGACCATTTCTTTTGGGTATCAGGCTTAGCAATACCTTCATAGTTATTAAATTTGTATTTCACATGGCCAAATATGCTTACTTCATGTTAGTTTTATTTTATTGTACAGTTCATCTATTTTAATCTCCATGAGTCTATTTTGGAACAAGGCATAATACCACTAATTTTGATGTATCTTATAGCTATAAATTGCCAGCATAAACCTTTCACCATCTGCATGAAAAATGATGGCAAATAAGCTCACCTCAGTTCTTAACAGTTCATTATTTTACAAACTGATTTATGATCACTAACATGTAACTGAGGGCATATACTATAGAATGTTGTTGTCAGCAGAAAGCAGTACTCCTATCAATTAATGAAATCTCTAACATTAGAGCCATATTCATATACAGGTTTGCACACTGTTTACCAAGGTCTATAGTATAACTGAATCCAAAACACTGAATAAAATTCAGATTATTACATACAGAAAAGCAATTTTTATCTGTGGGCAAGTGTATTATACCACCCAAAATATAATGATGTATATCCTCACTGAAATAATTCACTACTTTTAAATACCCATAACAGTTGTTGTACATGAATATTCTATCTCTCTCAGATGTAATGGTAAGTAATCCAAAATATTTTTAAAACTTTATTTATAAGTACTTTATTTATAAGCTTAAATATGATTTGGAATTTTAGTATGCCTTATCCATAACGTTCACCTGTATAGTTGGTAAGAGCACATGATTATATATGTGGACACAAAATTGGAACTGAAGATGAAATTATGGTACAAAATGAAGATAAAAAGTAAAGATTATATAGTCTAATTGTACTTGAAATTACTTTATGTTAAGCCTGAAATAGTATATATGATTCATAAACCTGGAAAAGACAGAGGGGAAAGCTTTTATCAAAACACTGGTAAGGAATGAATAAAAGATAACAAGTAAGTAAGAAGTGACATAATAAAAGACTGAATAAAACATCATGGAGATTTTACAATGAGTATGGAAATTCAATGTTCTAGGGGAAAAGATCCCACATGCTTATTGGAAATCCATATAGTGAAAAACCAGAAAAGTCAAATATTTAACATTTTCACTGAATTCTAAAACATTATTGGAAAAAGAAATTAAAAAAAAAAAAAGACCACTGCAGATTACAGATACCCAAGACTGACGAATCACAAACAGGCACAACGAGCTTCCTATCACAACTCCCAAGGCTACACAGCTCCCACAAATTTATGAAGTACTGGACGCTCCCACACCAGACATCCTCAGAGAACGCCAGAGAGATCTGGCTTTGAACTCCCCCCACTGCACAGTGTTCTGTGGGTAAAGACACTGATTACCATTTAACCTTTTAATAAACTGCTGTACAGCACATATTCGAAATACTATACTCAGTATGTTTTTCTATGGTTTAATTTTTTTTAAAAAGCAAGAATATAAAAGCTCTCTTTAAATTTTTGAGGAAATAGCCTTTTGGAATTAATTTCTATGAAATTGTTAACAAATTTCCCCCAAGGACCTATTGCAAAGATCCCTCAGACTACCAGGATTATGTACAAGTAGAATAACATGGAGGGAATGTACAGTGTCATTGTAAGTAAACACACTGAAAGAAGTTTAAAAATACATCTGTCATAAACTTACATCTTTCAGGAGCTTGGTCAATGTGTTCTGGACAAAGAAGGAAAAAGTGGCTGAAGTCCTGAAAGGTGCCGGCTCCTGCAGCACAGGGATAATGGTACATCTGGGTACATTTCTCTTCACAGCATTTGATACTGGCTCCAAGGTGCTTACAAAATGCACATCGCTGGAGGGGAAAAGGGAGAGAAGTCTCATTAGAAAACCTTAAAAAGCAACATTCAAATGTAGGTATAAGGAAGGTATTTTAAAAAGTTATTTGTATCATACTAGTAAAACAATTTGTACCTGTGAATAAAGGACCAGTTAAAAATAATAAAACCTAAGGTGCTCAACCGAGTGCTTGTCATATCACCAACTCATCCTTCCATTCAAATTAGAAAGCTGGCATTTCAATTTTTCCTATTTTGTCAAAAATGTACAACTAAAGATTTAAAAGACAAATAGTCTAATAGTATAATTTAAAAGGCAGGTATGTAGTTGAGGGTTATTTTAACAGTTTTAAACCCAACCAAAACAGATAATAGGAGTATATCATTTTTAAGATCTATCATTATTATTATTATTATTATTATAAAATTCAAAGTAAAATAATCTAATCAATGAATAAATAATCACTGGGGCACAACTATATGATTAAAGATACATATAAAGGGCTGGAGATGTAGCTCAATGCTAGAGTGCTTGCCTAGTATGCTTACAACCCTGGGTTCCAACCCCAAGAATCCCAAGGGAGATAAAAGTGGGGACATAAAAATCCAGATACTTCACTGTAGCAATTAGTTTTTGATTTCTTTACCACAGCTGGGAGTGTGATGGGAAATTAATTCATCTGGGTATATCTTTCCCCATTCCCACACTGGTCTGCCTCCACTTTCTTGCAAGATATGGAAAGCAACGTAAAAAGTCTCCACAAACACCAGGGGGAGTAGAGGGCCAATGAGTGTACATTGTGGGGAGAAATTACCCACAATGCTGCATTTGCTTATTCAGTTTTGTCTCTGAACAATTAATGAACTCTTCCTCATCCACCTAAGCCTACTTGGGAGTCTTTTCACAATTGTCTTTTATTTTATGAAACATTGGTGAGTGGCTCTAAAACCTCTTTCTACGGAGACACCTAAATGTCCCATGCACCATGCTGTTTCACATTCACGCCACCACATGGTAATTCTATCTTTTTTCACCCTAGTCCAAAATCCTTGAGTAAGGTACCAGATTATACTGTCTTTGCATCCACTGCACCAGGAATGCTCCTTGACACAGAAAGGCCCTGATGAACAGGTGTTCACACTCACACACACTGAATAGATACCACCCTGGCAATCCTATTCCTACACGTGACTCACCAAACAACTGAAACCTTACATAACAAAAATAGGTAGATTCTGTGAGCATAATGATGAGTATTCTCACATGCTAATGCACTGATTCTACAATGTTAATCAGGGAATGTGAGATTTTTAAATATTTTCAATCTTCCATGTAAATTTGTAAATAAACATGTAAATAAACCATCATATACTACCAAACTCTTCTGCTTTATTATCAATCCACTGTACTAAACAACATAAGAAAGCTTAGAGACTCTTGGTTTGTCTTCTGTACATTTTGATTTCGAATTAATAGACCAGTAAAACTTGTAAATAACTCAAGTTTTAGTTATATTCATCACATTTTAATTTTATATTATGTTCACATGTCCAGACTAGTACATATTTCACTTCTATTTTCTACTTAGCATTACTACATTAAAAAAGAAAATAAAGCCTTATTTCTCTGATTAAAGCATAACAACCAGTTTTTTTTTTTCCCCAAAATGGGCTGTTTTATGATGCAACCTTCCAAGGCACCTAAATATGTCTGGAATATTAATAAATCCTAGAGTTGACAAGAATAATAACATCAAGGTCCAGAGAAGTCAAGAAAATGCTGAAAGAAGAAAATACAGTCAATCTGCTGAGAAAATTTTCTGATAACACATTAACATAAACTAATTTCTCCTAAATGGTAAAAAAATATAGGGGTTCTTATTGGCACGATGTAGATAAGTCTTTTTCACTAAAAATAACTTTGACAAATCAGATATAATAAGTTTTACTTAAGTATATGTAAGGAAAAAATAATGTAAATTGATCCTTAGCCCAACACCTACATTATTTTAGAAACACTAATATGTTCTCTTAGTCAGGCCTTCAAAGAAAAATATCACATGACATTAGCTAAACTATTATGAAAAGTGCTGGAATTTATCCAACATACTCATTTACATCATCACAGAAAGATTTCAGGAGATAGTGGGGAGGAAATAAAGCACTAAGAGCATATAAGTGAACCCTTAAAACCCATCTGTTCCAACGGCCCAGCTGAGGACACCTGGCATTCAGAGAGTACAGACACTACACATACCGGCTGGGAAGGATCTTCCTGTACCAAAAAAATATATCTGTAAAAATTACAGAAAATACCAAAGAATGAATTTCCACTGGGATCTTCTGTAATGTTGGCACTTATACACTTGTCAGAAATCAAATAATTCATGAAATAAATAACAATTATAAAACTAACATTTAGGGAGAATGAGTATAAGGTAAATAGACCTTAAGTAATGTTATCAACTAAATGATGAATTTAAGACAATATTTTAAAGTCTAGATAGTACTTTATTCTTTTCTAACTCTGTCCAATCATTAAAGAAAACAAAAGGGGGTTGGGGTTGTAGCTCAGTGGTAGAGCACTTGCCTCGAATGCGTGAGGCACTGGGTTTAATCCTCAGCACCACATAAAAATGAATAAATAAAGATTTGTGTCCATCTACAACTAAAACAATATTTTTTTAAAAAAGAAAACAAAAGGGAGGAGATATGAAAAAGTAGTGTTATGCTTTACATTAATCCAAAAACATACTTTTAAAAATCTCAGTGAGAACTCCTATTACCCATTATAAGAATGAGTCTGAGGGGCTGGGGTTGTAGCTCAGTGGTAGAGTGCTCCCTTCGCACATGGGAGGCACTGGGTTTGACCCTCAGCACTACATGAAAATAAAATAAAGGTACTGTGTTCATGGACAACTAAAAAAAAAAAAAAAAAAAAAAATTTTTTTTTTTTTTTTTTTTAAAAGCATGAGTCTGAGGATCTTCCTAAACTCTAGACCAAAATGAAGACTTCTCCAAACAAATCTTTAATACAAAACATACCAAAAAAATTTTCAGAGATTAAATTTTCATCATGAAACTACAATAAAAGATTATTCCATTTCAACAAGAACAATGGTTTTAGACTAGGTGTTCTAAGAAACATAAAGTTACTAAACTTTTCACATTCCAAAACTGTTTTTAAAGTTCACCAATCATTTCTTATTATTAGTCACTGGGATTCTTGTAACAAAGAACAAAGATGGCAAGTGAGAGGAGAAGATATGATGACATGGAACACTAATCCAGAAGGTCAAAATCTATTTAATAGAAATGCCAGAAAGAGGGGAGAGGCATAATCATAGAAATTGTCCTAGAAGCAAAATTTTGAAATATCTAATACTAAAAACATTTATTAAGGATAATCTCCACTTAACAGAAGAGAAACCTAAAATATAAAATGTCTTCATATCAATTCCACTGACCTCTGAACCCAAACCAAAGTCTCCAGGCTTAGTTAGTCTCCATCATAATTCCTCCCAAAATTCCCTAAAGACCAGCTTCAAATTACAAAGTCCCATTACCAATAAAACCCAGTAATTGGGCAAATTTTTAACATAAGGATAAAGAGAAATTTGGGGAAGCCAAATAGATCATTTCCAAAGCAAAACAAAATTAGGCATTAGCAATATTAAATTAAAAGGAGAAGAAGTAGAGTACCTTTAAAGGTATACAAGAAAAATTATTTGAAACTAAAGTTTTGATGGCTGTTAAGATAACATTCAACTCCATGAAAAATAAATGTACACAGGTTAAATTCCCTATTAAAAGAAATGAACATTCAAAACATACTTAATATACTCACACACTTTATACCTAAACACATACACATTTTTATGTGTATATGTATATAGATACACATGAGGAACATGACACACTATACGAACAGCTGTGGATAAAGATAGACAAATACTATAAAAAACTGAAGGTATAGCAATATTTGGTGTAAAGAAAATAGAATTCTCAAACTAAAAAGCAGCAAACATATCAAAAATAATACTAAGTATTACAGTGTCAATTCAGAAGAATAATTCAATAAAGTTTCTAAACCTCATAAATTTTTTGGCACATAAAAAGTGAAGAAAAGAGAAATACATGCATAAATTAGACTTTACCATCTCTCTCAAGTTACTAAGTAGATGTAAAACAAAGAATTTAATAGAAAGCTTGACTTAAGCTCACATAAAGATACATACAAATCTTTATTCCAAAATGAGAGCAGCTCACAGTACAGAAATTGCCTAGTATGCATGAGGCCCTGGGTTGGATCCTCGAAAGACACAGACACACAGATACACATGCACTTGCTCATGTGTGTGCATACATGCATTCCCCCACCACTTTCATTCTATTCAAATGTACATAAAATTTTCAAAAAATTCATACAGGATCTATATGGCCCCCACCCCTTTCATTCTATTCACATGTACATAAAATTTTCAAAAAATTCATACAGGATCTAAATGTCCACATACACAAACAGTAGGTATTTCCTATGCTATATGCAATAAAAGCAAATATATCCTTCAATCTACAATAAGAATAAAACATTCAAAATGTAAGGATAAACTCCCAAGTTCCCAAATCTATTAAAAAATTTTAAACTCCTGTCTACATAATAGCAGACTTTTTAAAATAAAAAGCGTGTGTTGTATTTGAATGATTAAGAAATCACAAAATCTTTTGAGATGTGGCAAATATGGTATTCAGAGGAATAATATAACTTGGAAATTGTGAAACTTTAAGACTAAAAAAATGAAACTATAGCTAAAAATTAAAGCCAGTAAAAAAATCAGCATTCAGTGTGTAAGATCTGCCATCTAAGGAAATAAGCTACACTAATAGTATGTCTAGGGAAACCTTATTACTGAGATTCAGGTGTTTTAGTCTATCAAAAGCAAAAATTTTACATTAAAAACTGAAATAAACCAATTAAAATAAAAGTCAAATTATCAAATAATTAATTGTACGAGCA